TATATATTGAACAATGGATTTTGAAACTTTTCAGAAAAATCGATCGAATAAAGATCAAGCTATTTTGAATGAACGAGAAATAGGTATATTTGAAATTTATGATATAGCTGACCAAACAAGCAAATAAAATCAAAATTTAGCGGACCAGCCTTTGAGTACACAGCAGGTTATTCGATATGTATGAAAGAATCAAAATGAACTGTCAGTATTAGCCAAACATGCCTTTTTTTTCTATATTTTCAAAAACAAACAGTGCTAAGGCACATCTGACACAAAAAAAAACTTCGCGTTGCGCAAAAAGAGTATATAAATTTTAAATAACGAATGCTTTCTTTGTATCGCTTCACCTTAGTTTAGTTGTTCAACTTCCGCGGACTTGATCCCATAGGTGCGTGGTTCAAATCCTGGACAAGCTATGTAATGTATTATTGTGTCCTTTTTAAATTAAAATACTACTTTAATTGATTTTATATCATATCAAACTTACATAAGATGATAATCAATTCTTATCTATCAGAATTCGGAATTTTAGGTGAAAATTCCGCTAAATCGGAAAACCCTATTTGATGTTTACGGTTTTAGTGCGTGCACTCCAAAGGATACATTTCCGTTTCAATTGTTTAACTAATTAAGAAAACATGTTTTTCTTAGAGTGCTCACACTAAATCCGTGAAACAAATACTAATTTTTAGCACTAAATAGTGATAATTAAACAATAGAAAACAAAGGATTCTGCATGAAATAGTACTAATTAGTACTATTTAATGTTCACGGTTCATCAAACTTTACTCTATATGTGAGTGTCGAAGTTGGAGTAGAGAAAGCTCACTCCATATATGGTATGATCAATTCCATATTTGGATTGTGCGGAAAAGCGGCAAACAAAAGGCCGTCGTTTTATAACGAATTCGACGTGAACATTTTTGAAGAAGAAAAGAAAAGAAAAAAAAGACAAGTAAAAAGAGATAAACTTTGGAAAATCGAGGAAGGATACGGGGACGATGCTAACCGTTTCGTGACAACAGACACGGGGAAATACGTCACTCATTGTTTGATGTGTTTATAGTGCGTGCACTCAAATCAAATTAGTCATGTTAGTTATATTGTTAATTATACAGCTTCTCATTAATCCCATATAGGTAACTGTCCAATTATTTTCTTAATTGGACAGGTCTTGTTGATATGRGATTAATTAGGCAGCTATATAATTAATAGGTAATGGGATTTCATGCTCCCCAATCAAAAAATAGTTAGCGACTCGAAAAATTCCTCTGTCTGCCAAATTGGACTTGGCCTACGGCCTCATCCAATTTTGTCAGTCCTCGGAATTTTCCTTGGACAGCATGGAGTCCTATTACATATACTAAAAATTAATCATAACCATAACTTTAGACAGTATCTTATTAAGGCTACTGAGCTCTTACATTATTTCTCTTTCTACACTCCAATAAAAGATGCAGCTGCTAGCTCATTAGTTATATAGCTGCGCGTTAACGTCGAGAAAATAAAACCCGTGACAGACCAAGTACTAGTCATTTCATCAGCAGGTATTTTTCTGGTGTACGAGAAGATTACTTACTAAGGTACGTAAGAAAAAGCCCTTCATGTTGCACGGATTTTTGCTTTACACGCAAATTTGTTTGTTTGTTCGTTTTAATTTTTTCCTTGAATCTTAATGATACTGGGTTAGAAAGCGAAGAAATTTCCGTCTGTGTTTTTACCTGTTTTTTCAGTTTCTATGAGTTAAGATCGATTTTATTTTAAAAACTAAAACGGCATCACAGTAAAAATCTTGTTACGTTAATTGAGGAAATACAGAGAGGGACAGCTGGTAAAACGATGCCAGGGATAGAGTACCAAGCAATTTAACTATAAGGCCTAAGAGAAATAAAAAAAGTAACGCCCTAAAAAAACGGTATCCGAAAATATAGGGTTTGTTTTGAAATCGTAAATACGAGCGGAATTTAAAAAATGAAATGTGCGAACGAACATGTTTTTACTGAAATCACAATTAATATAAAAACCGTTGTTAAGTATTGGTGTGGTTACTTTATTGCCAATTTTCTCTACTTTCTAACCTTAATTCTTAAATCACGCTTTTGAGATCTTAAAAGATCCTGAAGGATCTGTACTTCAAGATTCAGAAAATTCTGAAGAAAATCTGAGAGAGTCTTTTCGGTTTTGAACATAGACATTTTGCAAAGACAAAACATTTTAGTAACGTCATGGAAAATGTTTGAGTTTCTAATATCTAAAGCTGCTGGTAAATCACTTTGGAGCAATGGAAAAAATTGGGGAATTCGTACCATTTGATTTGTAAGCCATATTATTAGACTATTTATACCTAACATGTTCGCAATTTTTGTTTATAAAGTTTCTCTATGACGTTTACTGCAAAGCTTCAATTTGATCGGAAATATTTTAAGGCCTTCAAACTTGAGCCTTAAATGAGGACAGGTCGGGACACTGGTAATTTTGCTTATCCCTTGTTTATTTGGTTTTGCATCGCTATTAATGACTGTCGTCGTATTTCATTACCTGTTTGTCGTTACTATGGTAACACAGCTTCATTTAATTGCAAACAATAATCCTCATCCATTGTTTGGTGTTAAAATCATTGACGAAAACTGTTCAAATGTAATCACACTTAAATTACTAGAAAGTTATGTACAAAGGGATTGATTAGCAATGTAAACTGTTTCTTGCAGCGGTTTATATTTTAATTTCTTCCAGTAATCAGCTGCTTTAAATAAAAGCTCCTCTAAGCAATCTGTGATGCAAGGCCGTATGACATTAATATTTCTAACTGTAAACATTTTCCGATTCTTTCTAATTATATTGCTGATTTTCAGTGACAACGTTCTTGCAATTAGGTGTATTGCTGCAGCTGCTGCATACACAGATTAATGTGGCTTTAAGTGGTACTGCACCTTTCTTTCATCTTAGTCTTCATTGCTTTTCCTTCCTATAGATTCGAAGGAAAGAAGCAAACTTTTAAGAATGGAGATACTCGTACCAGTCATTCTCCTGTCGCTATGGAAACATGGGCAAGCACAGTCTTGTCAGGCAACAGCATACTCTCAGTTCAATCACAAAATCCAGGGTCACGTGATCAAAACCCATTCTGCAGTGAAATCAAGCCTCCAGTGTACAGAAAAGTGTGAACTGCATGCAGATTGCTACAGCATTAACTACTGCTTCAGTCAAGGGGTCTGTGAGCTGAATAACGCTAATCACTTGACTAACCCCGAAAGTCTGGTCTACTCGGCTGGCTGTCATTACTTGAATTACATTTTACGAGCTGTGCCGATATGCAGTAACAAACTGTGCTCCTATCCTCTCGTGTGTAAGGTCGACAATAACGAGCAAGGCCACAAGTGTGTTCCGTGTGAAGGTAAACTTGATAGATGCTTTTAAACTGAGATTGCTAAAATACTCAAGCATGTTAAGGCAAAAATTACTTTTCACCGTAGATTACTTATTTCTGGATGTAAAATGAATGCGATTGCAACAGTTATCCTTATTTGGGGTGCTTAACTTTTTGGATGGATAAATTTGCATAAAAGGTGGTCACGTGACCTTAAAAGAGGGAAAATTCTAAATTAAAAACTAGATGATGGGTTTAGATTATTTGTGAGATTGTTTTGGCTTGTTTCAACGTAGCGACAAAGATACAGATATTCACGTTTGGAATGGTCGACCAAAATGTTGACGAAAGGAGAAAAATGGGCATAAAGGATATTTTTGATAGGTCACGTGACCTGTTTTGTAAAATATCGCCTTAACACAAAACGTTAGCCAACCATTCTCAACGTCAATTGAACGACTTTAGGGAAGGAAATAATTAAGGTTGAAAACGTTCAGCAAAGACTTAAAGTGAGTACCTACCATTAAAATGAAATTTTATGTAAATGTTATGGTCACGTGACCTAAATTTTCCCCATTTATTGCAACAAACTTGTAAAGATCCACGACCTAAGAAAGTTTGAGAAAGCTGGTTATACTTATATACAGAAACACCAGAGAAATTATTTTTTGATGGTCTGATAGAGAATTGGTGCATAACATGACTTGTTGTGGTCGTTCTCTTTTTAATCTTTTTTTAAAGTTCTCTCAAGAATAGTATCACTTTCTCGATAGAAGCTGCCATTTTTCGATATTTGAAATAATAAAACTTACTTTGAATGTCAGGACATCAGGTTAATTTTGACGCGGTTAATGTGCACCACCTTAATGGCATGGACTTTTAGAAAGTGCACCAGGCCTAGGATTTCCCGACATGAAGGGGGTACATGTACACTTCCAATGCACTTATTTTCTAAAAAATACTCTCCCGTTCGTCCCCAAAAATACATTTACGTAACAATCAAAATGGAGGATACGCCCCAAGGTACCTGTTTGTTAATTTTGCCGTACGTTCGAGTGATAATTGCGTCATCATGACCGGGCATGCGTGCCCAAAGTACATCGTGCTCATCATGTATCGCTTTTGTCTTTAAATCTATTCAGATGTAAAGGAAGTCATGTCGTTCCCGAGGAAAAGTGTCCAGGATAAAGTTGAGCTTGAGCTTCAGGCTGACGTCCAACTTACAGCATTTACGATCAGCATGTGGGTACAAGCAGATCCAAACACAGATGAACATTCACTGTTCTGTTATGGCACAGTCAGTGATGCAGATGAAATCAGTGTTTATTTAACCAAGGTGTACACAGTACTGGAAATTGCCGATACTATGGAGTAAGTAGATAAGGAGGAGGGCTTGTCACAGAACATAAATTCACTTTGGGTGAAATGCTTTCCCAATTGCGCTTTCCCATCAGTTCATGATCTCTTGGGATTCAGGATTCGGCTCTGCTTCGGTCACATACATCTATAGCAGAAGTGAAGGCCCTGAACGATAAAAACAAACAAAATGTGTCATGAGTTGAAAAATACTTTTCTTGTCCTAATTCTTTATTAGAATATTTTTATTCCTTTCTTTAAAGCCCTAACTACTTTTCAAGAAGCTTGAAAACTTAAGTTTGCTAGATTTTGAGATTCGATTTTACCAATTTTCATCTGTTTTCAAGTGTGAGAAAGTTTTCCAAAAACAAAGTTTACATTCAGTAAAACTTGACAAGAACAACTGAGACAAAATAGAAAATAATGCAAAATGCAATGCAAAATACAAATAACAGTTTTCTTTGCCAGTAAATTGGTAAATGTTTTTGAATATTTTTTAGCTTTTTAAAGAGAAAGGCAAGGTCTTTATACAATAACATATCTCTCAACAACACAAATTTAAGCTCATTTGTATGATCATACTAGCTCGATAAACAGTTGAATATTTGGTGTAATTTTATATTTCATTGAATATTTAAATAAAT